GTGATCATTACAAAAATAATAAGACTAACCATATCAAGAGGAACTTGGAAAAAGCTCTCAGTGCTGCATTTCGAATTTCCTCCGGTATACCTGAGCATCGGATAAAGAACACAACCAGGGCCAGACATCGACCAATTACACCCGTCTTGAGAAGCAAACGTGTTTGAAACAAAGCTTGTGTGCGAGTACGAATCAACTCGTCGGTGGAAGGACCTCAATAGAATTATAAATTTACTTTCACATGCTATATCTCACTTCCCAGGCTCCGAATCAAAAGCCTATACTTTGAGGTAGCGCTCACGACGCACTGTTACGCGCTGCAGTTGCAACAGCGCTCCAACCCTATAGATGGGAATGTACCTGCGTACGGGAATCGATCCATGACGGCCGCTTGCGCATTGAGTAAGGGGGAATAGGAGGGCACGCATTGCCCATCCACGTTGCCTGGTACTGATCGGCACTGGCCGCTAAGACTCTGCGAGAGTGTAGAAGAAAAGAGTATCAGACTGTGTGGGCAGCGCCTACCCCCACGCCCATTGTCCTATACTCTCTCAAAACGCAAGCGGCAGAGACCTTCGATTCCCGCCTGCGGCTGCGTTTGCGTGCATAGGATTGGTGCGCTGTTGCAATTGTGGTGCGTTACAGCGCGTCAACGCGCCTCATCGCGAAGTCTGAACGCTGACTAAGGAGCCCATACTCGATGAGGTTCACCGTAACAGAATGAAAGGTGGAACTCACGATTGGAGTCGTCTTCGTCCTCATCTTCTCCAGAAGCTGATGGCCTGTCTGTCCTTTCTGATTCCACTTCAGAATCTGCTGAGTCACCACTTTCCGGTCTTGATTTGGCTAAGGAAGCGATAGTCCTCGCAAAGAGTCCCTCTCGATAGGCGAAATCCATCTCGACGCCAGAGTGGGGCTTATCGTAGTCGGAGTACGGCTCGATAGGTTCATCAAGTTGCTTAAATGTTCAAGATGATCAGCAATAGGACAAGCAAATACAGTCTTACAAACCTCCGCTGCTGCTTCATCCAAAGCCATTGCACGTTTGAGCAGTTTCGGAAAGTAGTTGTCAACGTGAACCAACAAACATTCGATAGCCTTAACAACGATTTACAAACTTCAGTGGACCTTGAGGTTGCAATGAAATACTTACTTCACCAAACAGCATCAAAACACGTTCTGTTGTCCGCTGCCAAGCAATATTGAAATACTCTCTGAAAACAAGACAAGTTCAATCGAACGCAGCGACTTCCTGCAGAAAGGAAATGTACGAAATTGGAAAGAGAGAGTGCGCTCTTTAAATCGGCTGGCCTTCCATCATATTACAGTTTGGTCCAAATGCCGGCGTCGAAAGGTGGGTGTCCATTGGCTAACCTGTGAGCGCGGTGCTGCCGCTTAGTGACAAACTGTACCTTTACATTGGAAGACTCTGATCCCTACTCAAAAATGCACGGGAACGGGGTTGGAGGGCAGTAATTCCAGGGAACCATCTCCATGCTCCACCCACGCTGCCGCAGGTCCAGCTACCAGGCATAGGCCTAACGCAACATGTCTGCACCCTCTCATTGTTGTTCTCTACCACTAAAACGTTTTGCAACGGGACCTTGGTATGGAAGCAAGGTCCCGTTGCGAAACGTTACGCGCCCCTCCTCAACGTGCAGCACCTGCAACGTGGACGCAGGTGCTGCACCTTGAGGATGGGCGCGCTGTGCATGGGGAAGGGACTCGGGTACCACTACCACTCCCCCGCCCCCCTCCCCCCCGTTCTCGGGCACTTTCGAGCGGTGAAACTGTCACGGTACTGCAGACACGTACGCATTCAGTTCACATACGGCAAGGCATGGGAAAGGATCCATTTGGAACGTGAGTGTACGCTTCCTCTTCAGAGCAGTGACGTAGATAGCACGTGCACAAGAGCGCGTGGATACCAGAAAAAGGTCGCTGCGTCTCTCATCCCTCTCCACCTGGACTGCCAAACGACTACATAGACGCTGACGCTACCGCGCTCATAAGTACAGCCTAAATTCGGGAGCAGAGAGCGGCGTTTCCAACTACACAGCTGCGAACGCAGCGATTGCAGTGAGGGTCCGGAGGGAAGGAAGGCATACATAGACAGGAAAGAAGAGTTGGCACGGGAACGGTCGCCTTATCCGCAACTACTCACGAAACGCCCTTTCCTTCATCCAAAATGAGCTGTAAAGGTCCGCGCTTTCCCCCAACACCGAAATATGGACTTCATGAAGTTGCAGTATTGCAAAATCAATTGAAATTGTCACAGTAGGTTATAAAGAAGTTGAGCAACGGTCATAAGATTGGTCCTATGAGGAAAGCGCCTACCTTCGAGCTTTGACAAAGTCAGAATTGAGCTCTTTCGGTGGTTCTTCTCTGTACATAATCAGAAGCTGCGCGGCGCGATGAGCATACCATAGTCCCTACAAACAGTAATGAGTCCGAGAAAAAGAGATCTGCTTGTCGTACAGACTGAAACTCATTCTGCCGAAAGTGTTACTGGACAATACCTTTCCGAGTATCCTCGAAACTGCGTAGTCTATATCAGAGGAAAGAGTGAAGAGTGCTTTCAAACAATGTCGCATGCTTACATACCAGTATTTCGACTCTACGGTGTCATCGTCCGATAGAATCACTAAATATAGAGAAAAAAAATTTTTTTTCTCATCCTCGAACCCTTTGAAATTGTGCACTTACCTCTGAACAAGAACTTCTCCATGTCTGGGAAAAGAGAGTCGATCGCACGCAGTCGATAGAGATACGCTTCATTTTCCTCATCAGGAGGCACCTAAATCACCTCGTATGACCAAATCTCGCACTGATTCGAGAACTGTAAGAAATGTTTGGCAGGTGTAGTGGTTAGCACACTGGCTCAAAAGCGTCAAGTGCAGGTTAGAGTCCTTGCTAGAGTCTTTGTGCACACAACTCCACATGCAGCCTTGCTCACTGTGGAAGCTGAGGCATGTCCAGGTGTGGGGCTTTTTGCAGTGCTTGCCCCCCCCCCCTCAACAATCGGGAGAACAAGCGGCCGCCACGGCAAACCGACACCACCGACCAAGCGTCCACGGGGAACAAGGCTATCCCTAAGATGACTTTCAAGCATTGTTTTCTTCAAAATACTGATCCTAGTTAATAAAAAGTTTAACTGACTTCTCCAGATGGAATTAGGTAGGACATTGCATGAAGAGCTTCACTTGCTAAAAGTACTTCCGATGAGCGTAAACATCTCTGGAAATCGCGAAGATACTCGCGCATTGTTCGTGGATCAACCCTATGAATAAGAGTTCATATGACGTTTCACCAAAGACACCAGAAAATTATGAGATTCCAGAAAACAAACCTCGCGAACAAGGCCAGCACGACCATTGCTGGATACTTACAGAAAACCGGCTGTGCTTCGTTGATAATCTAAAACTCACAAGTTGAGCATTAAATGGATGAACGAATCGTTACAGCAGCAACCTTGATCAAATGAGATATCAGTCCTGGAGGGATCTTGTTACGGCTGAACATATGGTAGAGAAGCTCGGTGATTGCGTGGCTATCTCGCTGTAATTTCGTTATTTAGTAGCCTGTAATATACATTTTTTTCGTTACTTGACACTGTTACCTACAGTTGTATGTACTCTTTTCAACGCAAAAGAACAGACAGAGCACGACTCATCTCGCTCGAATCACTGTTACTGGAGGCTGGCGGTTATTGCTAGTGCCATTGGTGAAAGGTCTGCAAGAGGGGACTTGGCCCTAGCCACTACATCTCTTCCACCAACGACGATGGCGACAACGGCGCCCCCAGCAATCGTCCCACTGCACTCAAATTAGGAACCTCAAACAATGCCTAACGTAGCTCTCAAGCTCCCGTGGATAAAGGTGCAGCAGAGCAGGGGTTGCTGAATTTTCTCGGTTTTTCCTGTTCCAAGTGCGCTATACTCCCCCTTCAACAAGAGGCCGATAAGACCCATCCCTCCAGCGATCAAATAAGACATCGGGCTGAGGATCCCCAATGTACAGCTTAAAAACGATTCCCTGCGGTTCCCAGGACAGACTACAGCATCGTGATGTGTGAAACGCTTTTGTCAATACGACCCCCTTACCCCCGTCTCAAAGAGGGTCTCGGTACGACCCCCCCCCCCTCCTCACCCAACACCTACCTACCAGTTCATTTTCCGGTTCTTCACCCAAAGATTTCCGTCGAGCGGGAGGGGGTGGCGGAGGGGGCGGTTATGTACACTTCACATGCAGGGAAAAATCAACAACGAAAAGTCAACAACCGGGAAAAATTTTTCCCAACCCGGCAAATTCCTCTTAAAGCCGCATCGATTCCACTCCTCTCCCAAGCCGCATACGATTCTACCCCTCTCCCAAACGACCAAATACGATCCTCCCCAGCGGAAAAGTAAACCCCTATGTGTTTCACACAACGATGCTGTACCTTGTCCCAGGACTGAGATCCCGACTGAACATCCATCCGGCTGAGCAAGCGCTTTATCTCTCCGGGATAAATATGCACTAGATTATTATAGAATTGCAACATTATTTTTGGATCGGTGGGCTCGATGAGCGTCTTATAAGCCAGCACGCGTTGGAATGTCATAGTAATTCAAACGGGAGTGGCGTGCGTGAGACCTTCTAACCAGGGATGCATCACTAGCGAACGCGTTTCTTTAAATTTTTGCGCACCTATACCATTCCTTTCATATTATAGCAGCAATTATTAAAGTAGCAATAGTTCACATTACAGTAGTAGTAGTTCCACTTCTATAGCTGACACTTCAGAGCTCTCCGGCCACGAACACCCTTCTCATAATAGAATACACTTTCAGAAAGTGAAGCATTACCTTGTCTTTCTTCGTGAGTCTAGCTATTCAAAGCATTAGCTGTCTCGACAACATCGACTTCACCCCTGCTGAAAACTGGATACTTTGGTGGGCCATGGAAGAAAGAAAAGACGAACCAACTACCTGTTTCTGTCCTTTTTCTTTATAAATAACACCATTACAGTGTTGATAACTTCTGCAGATAAGGTTGGATTGCCCAAGTTGTACAGGTCATAAAGAGCACACGCTGCATTTCTGGAAAGCCACAGAAGCGTTGAATGCTTTGAGTTGTTCAAAATAACAGAAGACATAAAAAAATTATGCACCAAATGTTCAACCTTCACGTTCAAATGATCTACGCAGCTACGCCTACCGCATACCAGAAGTACGGGGTTTAGATGTAGGGGCTCTGACACAAATGGTCTCCAAATGAGTGACGCAACTTCTACAGTGGCATTCACTCGACTCACGAGAACTGCAGCACCCTGTTCACTCACTCTCGAGCTGTGAAAGTGGGCTAGCCTCCAAGATCGCTGACCGGACCACTTGCACAGGAGTACTAATTAGGTTTTTACCCCGATAGTCAAGGAATGCTTCTTTAAGTGAGGAATATGAAATATGAATATGACGAAGGTATCAACTCTGAGCAAAGTAAAGAAATGCACCTTATTCCAAATCTCTCACAGGTAGCACAGAACGTGACAGCATAGCTGACATCCGTGAATCCATTCTGTTTTAGTGAGTCGGCCAGAATTGGAAAAACTTGAGTCATCTGTTCAGCAAACACCATCTTCTCCTGTAACTGAATATTAAAATTAGAGCAATAGAAAACTGAACCTTCATAAGAAATTTCAGCACTGCTGAGCCCGTCAAGGCTAGTTGTGCCCGGGACTAAAAGTTTCGAATACTTGCAAATAGAGGGTTGGGCTCCAAATCGATCTTTCACTGACTTGTGTTACTCTTAGTGCATGTTCTATGAGATCCATGTTCTCTTCGTATGCAGTCTCCATCTCTTGAAGTAGCGGCTCTCCGGTGTCACCAGTACAATTGGCAAACGAGTCACCAATACGACTGATTTGTATCGATATATAGAATCTTTCGAATTCACGTACTAACGCATCAAGTCAGGTCCTTCCTTGGCAAACTACTGAAAACCAATTGATGAAAACCAAAATAAGGACTTGCATGAGAAGCGGTCGAGTATATGCTAACGTACAGATCTATATCCTTGAATCGGCCAAGATATAAAAGTTTGACCAGCACACAAAGCGTATCCCTCATGGAAATCTCGATCATATCAACCAAAAGTGCCATAGTGCTGAAAATGTGACTTGAAATGGCTCTGAACAATGTGATCCATTAACAGTCTTGTTCGCAGCGGATGAAGGGGGGGGGGGTGTCAGGCGGGATGGGTATGTCGTCGCGCTAAAGCCGTTTTTTACCAATTATTGAAGTGATCAAGCGACAAGCTGTATTAAATCGTTCGTATCAGTCGTTTTCCATCAGTTTTTGTTGCCTACACGCTTCAGCAGCTGGTGAATAACGGGCTTGGCGACGCGCTAAACCCATCTCCTTTCTCTGCAGCGAGCAAGACTGTAAATCTGTACACTCTAGTTCGCTGCGGACGGTTGGGCGTGTCAGGCAGTATGAGTGTGTCACCCCGTCAAAGCCGTTCTCTGCCTTCTTGTTGAAGCGCGCATGCGACAAAAGTGGTAGAAAACGAGTAATACGAACGATATGATACAGTCATATCATTTGCTCGCTTAACAACTGGTGGAGAACGGGTTTGGCACCGCGCCAAACTCATCCGCCTGACACGCCCTCCGCAGCGAACCAAACTATAGCTACCTCTCGAACGGTTCCTTTTCAACATCTTCACTTGTATTTCATGTCTAGCTCTCGCATCCATTATAGATTCCAAAGTTGCTCTCATCTTATCCTCGAAGGATTTGAAACGTTCCATCACCGCAAAGAAGCCAGGACGATCTGAAAAGAAAAACATGCCGCAAAAAATCGAATTTAAAGGAAACTCAGTGAACTGAAACGCTTACCAGGATCAATAAGCTTGATGCGCTCCTTGTGAGCGTTCAACTTTTCGCAGGTTAAACTCAAGTTTTCGAAGTCTAGCTATAAAACATCATATGTTAGGAGCAATAACTCAAATACGGAAGCAGTCCGTTTCCCGGAAATTAGGTGAGCGTGACTGCGTACTTCTAACATGGCCCAGGAACACTTTTCGTGCCCGCTGCCACTCGAGACAACTTTTATCTTGTATGGTGCAGCACAGGGACATGGGGACAATGACACCAGAACGCCAAAGCAGCCAGCTAGTTTGAGAAGTCCGCAGCTACACCTTCTCCATTTCCGGAGTGCACCCTCAACTATGAATTCCAAGACACACTGCACAGTTTTCTGAGAGGCCGACTTGTTCCGTAACGGAGGAAAGCAGGTCCGCAGCCGTGCAAGTGTGGCGCCGCTCGAATGCGCGTGGTCGTGATCTTGCCGGCTTACGATAGCTTTGCGTTAATTCTATTATATCCTCGCCTACCAGTCGATATGCCACATTCATATGGAAGTCGCGCCATACGGCCAGCCATAAGGGAAAGGGCACGGACAACCGCGCGTGCGGCTATGGTTGGATGTGTGGTTGGCCGTTTGACGTAGTTGTGACGCGTATCCAATACAGGGCGGAGATAGAATGAACATCAAGCTATCGCGTGCCTCTAGCTCCATTGCTGCGCACACTCGAACAACGGGAGCGCTACAGTTCTACGGCTGCAGACCTGTACCTCTCACACGAAATGGAAACTTTCCGGTTGAGTATAATCATGATCCCTGTAAAGGAAAGGGCGTGTGATTGGGGCATTAGTCGAAACGCAGCCAGGACAGCCAATTCTTGCCAACTATTAGTGGAGGATGACATTCCATTATGGAGAAGCTGCCTAGGCAGTACTCCAAGTCACGCCCCGTCACATGCTATCGTTTGCAGGGATTCAATAGCTGTGCACAGGACTGCTATCAACTCACATTCTTCCCATAAGGGTTCAGAAGCAGGTACAGTACCAAAAACTGCATCGCTACCTTCCGTGTATTCACGGATTTATCATGAAGTCGTTCAGCTGAATTAGTGCAGTTACATCAGCATAAATTATATGAAAGAACTGGAAACCTCACCAACAGCATAAACGAGCCCCTTCTTTAGTGAATCAAAAGGAACTCTTCGATTATTCGCTATGACAACCCAGCAATTCAAAGCCTGCGTTCGTACTTGGAGGTTGGAGTCAGCAAGATGAGCCTATAGATTCTCAAATAGCCATAAGGATTCCCTACTACAGCGTTCAGAACTCGCGATGCTTTGATGCTATAGACGCGAACGCAGCTGTCGACGAGAATCGACCGGCGCTGGCTGCTTGGGTGTTAACAGAGTACACGATGATAGGAGGGCAGGGGCTGCTTACACACAATACAGTATTCTCTCGTTCTTCTATACTCTTCCAAAGGAGTAGCGACCAACGGTCGATATCAGACAGCGTGATTGGGCAATGTGTCCCTTCTGTTGCCCCACACTCAATACACAAGCGGCCGGTGCCCATCGAGTCCCGTCTGCGGCTGCGTTTACGTCTACAGCACTGGAGCGCTGCTGCAATTGCCGCGCGTACAGCGTGTCATCGCGAAGTCTCAAGGCTGCCTACTAGACATCCATAGACTCAACAAAATTACCTGTAGCTGGTCTGCCATAATGTCACGAACCAGGCGTGCATCACGACCTGGTCTTAAATAACGAGGCTTCATGTCAGGACCACAAATGACGTCACAGAAGGCTCCAAGAATGGCACTGCGCATTGTGGGTGGCTGCAGTGAGTAAATTGTTCCTCATAGATCAAGAAGCAGGGCATAGAGGCAAAATAAGGACCTGTAACTCACGTCATAGTCAAGGAAAGGCAAAACACCCCGGATATTCTCAAAGAACGTCAGTGGTGCACACTGAGCAAGCTTCTGAATCAGCAATGCAAAAGGTTTCGGCACCGACTGGGCTGAGGTTTCACGTGGACGGAACAAACCGACAAAGTAAAGCATATGTGACATCATCTGATCCATGTCACCTAGAAAAGCAATGAAGCTAAGGAAAACTGACTGATGGAAAACCTGTTAAAAAACCAATGGTATAACCTAACCGTCAATCGAAAGCTTTTTGATCGGTTCAACAAATGGATAGTCGGTAATTCGAGGATCGTTGAGATACTCAAAATGCAAGCTCGCCTTGACTAATATTCGAGCAACTTCTGCAAAATACCTTGGAATGAATACTTGTTAAATTTGGAATGAAAACAAAAGTCTTAGTACAGTGGTAGACGGTCATAAGCCTGCTTAAATATTCGTAAATGCGCAATGATCAAAAGAGATGAGAGACCGGACAACGGCTTAATTGAAGCTACCAGTGGCAAGTTTGAAGTCCACGCAAATAGGACGTAGATGTTCTAACAACTGCCGGAGTTCTGCACTTGAAGAGCCTGCTTTGGCGAAACGAGGATGAGCAGCAAACTTGATTATGATCGAAGCCAGAGACCTGGAAACCAAATATTCAATCTTGAATACATAACGAGATAATGTAGCTTTCGTTTGCGTGTACTTCGATAATACCTAAGCAATTGGCTGTTTGCATCTGCAGGACGCCAAAGGAATTTGATAGCATTTTCCACAGATTCACCGTTGCCGCGAGGTATATTTATACAACATATGAAGCCAATCATATCAATAATCTTAAGTGATAAGAAAACTGAGTATGTAACCTGAGTAAGTAAAAATATGAACAACTATAAACCTGTGAGCGGATTTCCTTCCACAGAGGCAAGTCGCTATTGAAGGTATCGCCCTCTTCGTCGAACTCGATGTCATTCCCATCTATTTCCACTCCCAAGTCACGATATGCACTAAAAAAGTAGGCTTAGCATAGGTTAAGAGAGCGTTAATACTTCGCAGCGTCTGAGCGACTAGGAAACTAAGAGTATCAGTCCAGCGTTGTAAGCGATCACCAGCGTTTTCAGCGATAACCGATACCTATGGTTTCTCAGTCGCCCAAAAACATTCAAGGCGCGCAGCTGCCATTTTGGCCTCTGAAAAGTTGCGCCATGGTTACTAACCGCAACTAACATATTGCGGCGTCTTTCCAATCACGCGCTGGTGGACTGAGCCTCAGAGGGCGACAATCTAGTCGAAACATCAGCTCATGAATTAATAGTTCGATCTAACAACCTGGTTGGCTTATTAGAAAAGGAAACTGCCATCATTCACAACAACGCCGAGGTAGTACGAAGACGGAGGTTGCACACTACTAAAAGTTTTGGCACTCTTTACCCTTTAGTGCCCCAGTCATCCGAAATCGTGCCTATTTTTGACCGACTTTTTTCTCCTTGGACAGACTTGGCTCAATCGTTGCATTCTGGGTAATTTTACCTCCTGATACGAATATCACATTTGCTTGGCCCGAAACTTCCCGACGCCCGCACCACAGGCGCCGGTGTTTTGGGGTACTTGGCGCCGTCGCCTGTGCGCGGGCCCCAGGAGACTTCGTGCTGAGCGGATGTGATATTCATCTTTCGAGGTTAAGCAACCCCAAGAGACGAATTTTTAGCGAACTTCGCCCATGAAAAAGCCGTTCAAAATTTAGCCAGATTTCGGACGATTGGGGCAGTTAAAAATAATTAGTGCCAAGTTTTTGTAGTCCATTCTACTCGATAGCATTAAACAAAAGCCTTACCGCTTAATCACGGCGCCTTCTAGATGGAAAGTTAGTCTTTGAATGAAATAGACGAGCATTTGCAGGATTTCCACGCGATCTGCGCATACTTCTGCCAACTAAAATGGACGACGGGAGTTTAAAATGTCATTAACAACACATCTGATAGAGAAAATAGGGAGTTGTGCCTCACGTTTTCCTGAAAAGTTTCGCCAGCGCTCACAGCGTGGCAGAGAGCATTGACGAGGTCGGGCTTGAACGCCTTGAATGCTGAAATACAGTTTTGTTCTACCAGATCTAATAAGTTGGTAGGGTAACAGGATTCGCCAGAAGCAAGGGCAAACACTGACCTTTAATTAATGACTGGATCAACTCCAGCCAAATATTCCATCGCCGAATCGTAGTTTCGACCCTGAACTAGTACTTTAGCCAGCCGTATAAAAAATGACAAGAGGATTGAAGAAACTACCTGCAGATATTAAAGAGATCATCAAAATACGTATAGATGGCACCGTAGTCATCATCATCGACAGCGCTTTCGAAACCTGAAAGAGGATCACAGGTAGGTTTTCATAACAAATTAGATGAGCTCGAGCTGAACATGTGACACGCGGCAATCTGGCGTATTCGTCGGATCGCCAAATCTCTGCAGTCGCTAGCGACCGGCGTTGATCGATACTGATCCACTCCTTTGGCACGCAATCTCTCGAGTAGCCGAATCGCCTGAGACGCGAAGTACGAAGGCAACCTTGGACAACGTTCAGACTCGCAATAGCGCCATCCAGTTCGCGCGATCGCGAATTCTGAACGCGCTCTTAGGGAGCTCTTAAGGAAACGTTACTACTGAGACCACTGCACCACAGTTTTATGCGAAGCGCTTGCTGGCCAAACCTGGCAAAATTTTTGATTCAAATCTGGCCCTTACTTCGGGAAGTGGCAGCAAAGGGTGATGAGTGCAGATAATCGTTTCGAAAAGTCAACAAAACTGACGTTGAACGACTTTCTGTGCTGTTTCCAATGTAATGCTGTCCTTAG